ATCCTCCCGACATAAAAGGCAGTATACCAAATGTAAGGATTATTATTTTAATATCATTTGCATAACACCTTTCACGTGGGATGACATCTTGAAGTGCTTTGTAATAGTGATATGCATTGAGTAAGGTGTAGGAGGATTTTGAAGGTAGGAAAAGAAGGCACAAGGCAAAGGAATTTTGGGCGAAAGATAAAGAGGTGAGGCATAGTGGCTTAAATGGATGGGCAATCAGATGGATTAAGAAGCAGCAAATTAATAAATAAAATAATTCTTAATTGTGATATAGTGCTTTATATATCAGGAGGATGTCTCAGAGCATTTCACAGGCTTAACCGTAAAGTGCAGTGACAGTGTTTTGTAGGCAAATGCTGCAGCCAACTTGTGCATAGCAATGTCCCACAAATAGCCTTGAAGTGAGTGATCATTGTTGGTCAGGACACCAGGAGAAACTCCCTTCACTTTTTGAACGGCACCATGGGATCTTTAAAATTCACCTGAACAAACCAATGGGACTTTGGTTTAACATCTCATCTGAAGCATGGTGCCTTTGACAATTCAGTGCTCCCTTGGCACTGAATTCAACCTAAACTATGTGAGTTCTGCGTACCAACATGGGGCTTCAACCCATAACTTTCTGTCTCCCAAGATGAAAGCACTATCAACTGAAGCAAGCTGATCCCTTGATCCAACACAGCTGTCCAGCTACAGCTCATCTCCAACCTCTCTTTTCTGTCCAAGGTCCTTAAGAGATCCATCGCCTCCCAGCTTCGCTCTTTTCTCTCCTCTCACTCCCTCCATGAGCTCCTCCAATCGTGTTTCCATGCTGCCCATAGAACAGAAACTGCTCTGGTCAAAGTCACAAATGACATCCTGACCATGCGTGACCAGGGCTCCCTCTGCCTCCTCGTCCTCCTTGACCTCTCTGCCGCTTTTGACACTGTGGACTATTCAATCCATCATTCCCACCCTCGCCAGACTCCACTGTCTCCCTATCCCTCAGAGGATCCTCGTCCTCACTTTCAAGGCCATACATGGCCTTGCCCCCTCCTACCTCTCTGACCTGCTGACTCCCTACCAATCTGCCTGTTCCCTCCGTTCAGCGGGCTCCGGCCTGCTCCATGTCTCCCGCCCGACCTGCCCTACCATCAATGGTTGAGCGTTCAGCCTCTCTGCCCCCACACTCTGGAACTCCATTCCATAGTCCCTTTGCCTCGCTTTCTTCCTGGCCTCCTTCAAGGCTGGCCTCAAGACCCTCCTCTTTGATCGTGCCTTTGGTCACACTCCCACCTCTCTGCCTTCCCTCACCCCTACCCCACCCCTCTTCCATGCTCGGGTCCTGACCCCTGACTGTCCAGCACCTTGGGACGTTCTCCCGACGTGAAAGGGGCTCTATAAGTATACTTTTTTTTTGTTGTTGATCTTATCTAATCTTTTCTAATTGTAGCTTGTTTGAGGTGAATGGTAACCATAATTTAATACAACTTCAAATCATCAGTTCCAATTAATTTATAGAATGCTCAAATGTTATTGCAAATACAGAACAGTTTGAGTTGGTACCTATTAATTTTTTTTACGAAAAGCTAAGCCCAAACTTGAGGGAAAAGATATTCTCTTGAAATGCTTTATTTTTAATTCAACAGCTTCTGGGATTAGTTCTGGTTGCTCTCTTCTGGATGTTTGTTATTAAGGTGTTTGCTGCTAGACCATAGCTGATGTCCGAGGAACAACATACACCAGAAAGAGAAATTCTCCAGTAGTTTGAAAGTACTGAGTAGCTGATTCCCACGCTTGTGTTTTTTTCACTACCCTATAGATGTTACTTCATGTTGAAAGTTTTTCTTCTTGAACTGATGTAACCTTGTCAATTGTTGCCTATTTATTGGTTATTTGCACCATTCTGATTCATGGAAGGACTTTATGTTTACAATGCAGAAGGAGGCTAGTTGGCCCATTATGTTTGTGATGAAGCTAATTCTTTCATTGCTAATTTGTATCCAAAAGTGTAAACCTTTCAATACTTGTCTTTAAATATCTATCCCTTTCCCTTCTACCATTGGCAGGTGAGTTTTCCACCAATCTGCTCCTGTCCTTGAGTGGTTTAGGTCGTACCTCTCCCACCGTCTTCATTTTGTTTCCACAAACGGCTTTTCCTCCAGCCCCCGCACTGTCTCGTGCAGTGTCCCTCAGGGCTCTGTCCTCGGTCCCCTCCTCTTCACCCTCTATATGCTCCCCCTTGGTGACATCATCCGCAGACATGGGGTTAACTTCCACATGTATGTGAATGACACCCAACTCTACCTTTCCTCCTCTACCCTCAACTCCACGACCACCGATGTCCTGACAGCCTGCCTGTCCGACATCGAGTCCTGGACGAGAGACAACTTTCTTCAGCTCAACGTGCGCAAAACTGAGGCCCTCCTGATTGGCTCACGTCAGCGCCTCCGCACCTCAGGCGCTGACAGCATCAGCATCCAAGGCTGCACTGTCCACCTATCAAAGCCAGTCAGGAACCTTGGTGTTTTGTTCGACCCTGAGCTGTCCTTTCTTCCTCATATCTGCGCCACAACTGGCACCGCCTTCCATCATCTCCGAAACATCGCCAGACTACGGCACTACCTCACCCCTCACGCTGCTGAAACTCTGGTCCACGCCTTTATCACCTCAAGGCTGGACTATGGAAACTCTCTCCTCGCCGGCCTTCCCGGCAACTCCCTCCACAAGCTGCAGGTCATTCAGAACTTTGCAGCTCGTGTACTGTCCCGCACCAGGCTTCGGGACCACATCACTCCCACCCTCGCTCGCCTCCACTGGCTCCCCATCCCCCAGAGGATCGAATTCAAGATCCTCATCCTCAATTACAAGGCCATTCACGGCCTCGCTCCCTCCTACCTCTCCGACCTACTATCCCCCTACCTACCTGCCCGTACCCTCCATTCCTCTGGCTCCGGTCTGCTCCACATCCCCCGCCCCAACCGCCCTACCATCGGTGGCCGGGCCTTCAGCCTATCAGCCCCTAGGCTCTGGAACTCTGACCATGCCTTCAGCTCCTCTCTCGACTCTCTACCCCCTCCTCGCTCCCTCCCTTCCTCCCCTCACCCTGACCATTTCCCCACTGCTCGGGTCCTGACCCAACTGTCCAGCGCCTTGGGACGTCCTCCCGACGTGAAAGGCGCTCTATAAATGGAATGTTGTTATTCTCTGGATCTCCATCCGACTCCCTCTCCTCTTTTGAGCTATCTCAAAATGTATTTGACTGCTCTTCAGTCATCTTTCTCCTCCCCACCCCCTGTCCATGAGGCACTGTGAAATGTGTTGAGCCATCTCGCAATGTGAAAGGCACTATATAAATGTTAATTGTATTGTATAATTATTTATGAAGCATTTTCAGACGACTCAAATTGATGAAGTGTTATAAAAATGCAAGTTGTTTCTAGTCTTCTGGTGATGATCCTTAACTTACAGCAGATTGCAAAAAATGTCCATTTGCACTGATTGAAAATTCATACGGGCTAAATTTAGTGAAGTGCAAAATTCACAAAATATTGTCTTTTGTGAATAAAGTGACTATAGCCTGATCTGTCGTGAATAATAAACAGCCCTCGAGACAAAATAAATCAATTCTATCTTCAGACTACTTTAACTCTGAAAAGGTCTGCAATGAGCATAATTTTAACTTGATTTCCAGGTGTGAGAAATCATTTGGTGTAACTGGAGTGTGACAAGATGAAGGGGGAAGGGAAAGCAAGAAGATAACTATTTAAGAGACAGCTTGTCAGGTGCAGTTAATAATCATCTGTTGTGTAGGGAGTTTCTGCCTGGGAGTTTTGTGCTAGCATATTCTCATGATCAGCTTACTGCAAGTACGGGTAAAATGACAACTAAAATTCAAATTAAGAATCAGGGTTATAAGAAACAGACTGTGAAAAGACCATTTAATCTATCAAACCAACCTATAAATGCAAATTAACGTGCCATGGTTAAACTCTATCCAACTTAGAGTGATAATGAAGGACATCATTGTGATAACGGTTTTGTATTCAAAATTTTAGTAATAATTAGGCACTTTCTTTTTATAACTTTGGAAACCCAGGTTCTGATTTAAGAAGTGTAGGATTGTGTGCAGTTTTTGACAAAATGGTCTTACCTAATGGAAGAATGGTTGTTTGTGGCAGCTTTGATGTTACAAATCACCGTCATGTTCATCTTCAGCTTCGTTCAGTTGGTAGTACTTGCTTCTGAATCAGACGTTCAAGCCCCAAGTCTTGGGGAGATGGAGCTCATAGTCTAGGCTGACATTCCATGATATGAGAGGTGACATTGTTCAGTTGAAACATTAAACTGAGCCTCATGTGCCTGTACAAGGGGATGTTAACGATCCTATGACATTATTTGAAAAATGGGGTATTTCTCCCAGTGTCCTGATCAGCAGTTCTCCAGATAAGTTTAGTCAATCAACTCATAGTTGTTTGTGGGAAATTGCTTCGCACAAATTCAAGGACTGGATTCAAATACATGGATTATAAATTGGCTGCCGCATTATTTTATAGTCACTACACTAATGTTTTGTTATTACGGGCACTTTAAAATGTCCGCCCAATATGAAAGATGCCATATAAATGTAAATTGTATTGTATCAAATGCAAGGACTATTATTAAGTCACTCCATTTGCAAATCGTTGTCAAAGAGTTTTAAGACATTTTTTAAAAAATTTTCATTTAATTAATGTTGTTATAATGTAGAGTTTGGCCTTTATTTTGTTATTTTCTCTGCTCTGTGGAGGACTGAAATTGAGTTTGTTGCTTAAAATACCGACATTGTTGCTGATCTTGTAAACCTGCAAGATATCTGTGTATATCCTTATTACTGCATACAAGAAATCCTGTAAGTCATTTCACCATCCGAAAAATGTAGTAAATACACAGATGCTTTTTGTTTTGTTCTGTCCTGTTGTGTAGTTTTCTTGTAATACTACTAAACTTAGTGTTTGTACAATTTTTTAAAGCACAGAACTGTTACACTCTGCAGACAGCCTGTTGGAGGAATGGGTCTAAGTATTAAAGTAAGTGCCATCAGTGTTTAAATTTTATAACGATAGCCAACTGTGTGATGTGTAACGGCTTCTGACCAATGGTTTACTGTGTGATTTTTCAGGGTGGGGCTGAACATAGTGTACCGGTTGTCATTTCAAAAATTTTCAAAGATCAAGCAGGTAAGTCAAAAGTTTCATCCCACAAACAAAAAGTCTTCCTTCCTGTTCCTTGCAATGTTTTCTTTTATACTTCTATGAATATTTGCACATTTCTCCTTTTTTCTGTATGTGTGTGTGTGTCAAGCTCTCTGAGATGCTATCCTGCATGGAGGGTGCTATATAAGTGCAAGTTGTTGTTGTTGTGTGTGTGTAAGAGGGTGGATAACGTAATGATTTCTGTTCCGTGTCAAAATGTACTAAATTAAGAATGATTCGTGTTCTCCACTGGTTCGCCTCACCCTACCTTGAAGGGCAGTGTGATTTAATTGATCTCCTTGACATGTGAGCCTGTGCAGTCTAGATGGGCCAAATGGCCTTCTTCTATACACTGTGTATGTCTATCTTTCTACCTCTGCAACCCGACTGATCCAGCCGTTTCCTTTGCTAAGCCAACACCAGCCTGATTCATATCCCCGCATCCTATCTGCCCAATCTTGGTGAGCCAGCTTGTGGGCATTCTGCCCCCACTCCCTGGAACTCCATCCCAGAGTCCCTCTGACTCACTTCCTCCATCCCCATGTTCAAGGAAAGAGAGGGAAAGAGGGAAGCCTGAAAATGAACCTGTTTGACTTTGGGTCATCTTTCCCATACCACCTCCTTCAACTCCAACCTGCAACGTTGGTCCAGCCAGCATTGTCAAGCACGTTGAAACATCTTTTATATTGTATTGAACTATCTATTCTCTCTGGCATATTGCTGCATTGGAGTTTGCCTTCTTTCACTCTGCCACCAGAGAAGTTATAGTCTTTATATCACAGATGATGCCCGTTGTTACTCATTGCATAAGCTATGGATAAGCAAGGCCTTGAAAAGAGACCTCTTTTAGAGATATACAAGATGCTGCAGGGATAGAGCGTGAACCCAGAACAATGCTTTTTTGCCCGCAAAATATATAATTAATTCATTTTACAGTATATTCTGTGAAGCACTTTGAGACATCTCGAAGACTTGATAAAGCACTATATTAAATGCAAGGATTATTATTATTAATACTTCCAGATATGAGAACAGGTCAAGAAGTCATGGGTTCACAGATGTGAAGGACAGACAGCTTTTAGCTCTAAGCAACTCCGCATCTTTGGTCTGTAGAAGCTAGGAAAGGAGGTGGAAGTATTTTTTTACACAGTGGTTACTAGGGAGAGTGGTAGAGGCGAGGATGATAGGACTCATTTAAGATAAGGCTTTATGCTGTGATGCTGGGAAACTCTGGGAAAGATGCTATCAAATAGTCCGAGGGCTGTCTTTATCCAAACCTTTCCTGTGATGTGACACGATATTGTGTGATACACAAACATCTTTTACTGTCCCAGATTAGATAATATTTGCAGGTTGCGCCATTTTCCCTCTAACCTGCGGTGAAGTAAAATTTCTGATAATAAATAATCATAATCCTTGCATTTGATATAGCGCTTTTCACATCTTCTAGACGTCCCAAAGCGCTTCACAGAATATACTGTAAAGTGAATTGACTGTATATTTGTGGGCTAACGCGGCAGCCAATTGCGTACAGCAATGTCCCACAAACAGTCATGGATTGAAAATGACCAATTTATTATTGTTTTGTTTTTTTGGAGGGATTATTATTAGGCGAGTGGAGTAAGGAAACTTGCCCAAGGTTTCGCCCTCTGCCTGGAATTGAACTCAGGTCTCTCACTTGCAAAGCGAGTGCTCTATCGGTTCAATTTAAATCACTTGACTAGATTGCAGGACCCCACTGGCTATTGCTGTCTGCTACAATTCCTATCATTGACTGAAACAAAATGCATTTACAGAAAAGAGAAACAAACCGCCTCACATGAGTTGTGTCTCCACACAACATATAGAGTAACGCAGGTTCCAGTGGGTACAAACAATCAACTCTGTTTGCGCAGATCAGACAATGAGGCAAAATATCAATGATCTATCAGATGATAACAGTTTCCAATTATAACCCTTTTTAATTCAGAATTAGAATAAGTTAGTGAAAAGAAATACAGTCTAGAATGTAAAACATTAATTAAAAACCTAAAAATAAATGATTTACAAATAATAATAATAATAATCCTTGCATTTGATATAGCGCTTTTCACGTTGGGAGGACGTTCCAAAGCGCTTCACAGAACACACTGTAAAGTGAATTGACTGTATATTTGTGGGCGAACGCGGTAGCCAATTGCACACAGCAATGTCCCACAAACAGTCGTAGATTGAAAATGACCAATTTATTATTGTTTTGGGTTTTTGGAGGGATTATTATTAGGCGTGTGGAGTAAGGAAACTTGCCCAAGGTTTCGCCCTGCTTGGAATTGAACTCAGGTTCAAAGCGAGTGCTCTAACCACTGAGCTACAGGACTCCAAATAGGTGTTTATCAGTTTTTGAGTTGTTTCATAGAGTATCACAGATCAGGATTCTTTAAGCAGTCTTCCTCCCTCCCTCTCTCTCTCTCTCTTCTCCCACTCTCTCCTCTCCTCCCTCTCTCTTTTTCCTCTCTATCTCTCTCTGACTTACTTCTTTCTGGCTTGTCTGCCTCTGCTTTCTAGTTTTTGCAATTCAGCCTCTGTATTGCATCAAGTAATACTCGTCACTCATTCAATTTGAAATATGGGAACAGATTTTTTTCGACTTCTAGGAGAGTTGGTCTGTTCACATTAAACAGCAGGTAATGAACAAGCAAATAGGGAGATTAGGAGAAATGTTTTCAACACAGAGTAGGTATGATATAGAATTCCCTGTCAGGAGTACCAAGTTAGGTGGTCGAGGCAGAGTCCATTACAGGTTTCAATTGGGAAGTGGACAGGTATATATATATGAAAGATAAGTAACATGTTGTTTATTGTGCCACCTAGGGTTGATACAGAGTATATGGGGTTAACCGATTATTTAACTGCTCCACTCACACAATGCACACTTTATGCAAAACACTATTACTTACAGAAACTTGAACAGGAAAAATTTGCAGGGCTATGAGGAAAGAGCGGGGAAGTGGGATAGCTCTTTTAAAGAGCTAGCACAGGCACAATGAGCCAAATAGCCTTCTTTTGTTCTGTAAGATCCTATGACTTTATGATTCTATAATTTATGGCATGATTAAAAAAATATCTATTGACATTCGTTTGCTGGATTGTGAGGTGACAAATTTGATTCATGAGCGAGATCAGGAAGGTCACAGTGTGACTTGGAACTGTTCAGATTGCAAAAAACTTACAGCCATGGAACGGAAACTATTTTGCAGAAAGATAACAAAGTAAAACTAAAGGACTGCAAGTAAGGATTTTTTCATTTAGCAAAACTGCGACATAAGTCTACGGGCGAGGCATTTATCTGTGCAAACTGAAGCACTCCACGGATACTCTGCATCCCTAAGATTCAGGAAATCTGGTCATAAATATAGCTGTTTCTCAGTCATATCTATATATCATAGAACATCATAGTGTTCAGTGAATTTAGCCACAGAAATAGAGTTCTGAATAAGATGAAGTGATGGTTCACATAAAAATTCAGAAAGTGCACTTTGCAAAAATTCCATTAGAAAAGCATTGGGCCATACATTTAAATTTTTAAATTGGCTGGTCATGGGGTCCCAGCCAGTACTGTGTCTAGTTGCTTCTCTTATATACTTCATGATTCATTTCATTAAAAGGTCATTACAGTGCCTCAAAACCTCCAATGATGCTGAAATATTCATGCAGATTTAATTACGGAGCTGCAATGATAAAGAGAGATAACTCTGACATTAATTATTCTGGTTGAACCTCTGTGAAAGTGTGAAAGTTTGTTTCCTGCACAAGAAATTCTATTGGGTTTCATTCACAGTCATATAAAAAAAACAGCGTAAGAGAGATTTGCTGCTGCAGGTGTAAATTCAATGCAGAGGTCTGCGGAAATAGTTAGGGCTAATTTGCAGTAAGTTTAATAGGATTCCTTACTGAAGAATCTAAGTCTTACAATTGTAGACTCCAGGTATTGAATATACGTCATGCAAACCTGGGTGGGAATTCCACAGGATAGGAATCCTAATGTGCTTCTTTATTAAGAAATACCACAAATTAGACCTTGGTAGTATGAGAAAGGTAATGTTTCTTGCTGCCACATTCGATAATAACTTTATTGATATAATTGCACTTTGTGAAATCCTTAGCCAAGAAATCTAAAGTCTGTGAATGCTTTTTGAACAAAAATCATTTTAGTAAAGGTTCATGATGCTCTCATTGCAATCTCATATACATTAAGATTAGGGTCCAAATTGCCATATTCACAGACTGGATTTGATGTACGGAAGCAAGCTTCCAGTTTGTGACCACTGGGTTTGCAAACTTCCCACTGAAAACTAGGGGCCATGAAATATGAGTCACAAGTTAGCAAACTCCAAAATAAGCTGGCGGGCAAGTCAAACAATTGTTTCTTGCCTTCAGCTTTAATCGCTGGCCAATTTTTGCATTTTGCCAATTTGGTATCTGCGGGCTTTGAATGTTATTCACGTACAAGGGTTTTATTGGCAAAATCAATGTGAATGTGCCTACATTTTTTATCTCTCTGTCATGCCTTTCAATTTGTCCTCCCTTTCTAAGAGGAAGGGAGTTATACATACATGAAACAATGTTTGTCTGCAAATTCTTATTGATCTGTTGATGTTTTTATTTCCTATTATTCTCACTTACGGGAGGGAGAGGAAAATTGTGGTGGAGAAAAGCAATCCAGTCACGTTATTCGCACATCTCTTTGGTTCAATAGTGGCACGGGACAGTCAGGCTGCGGCATTCAAGATTTATGTTTTGCTTCCAAAGAGAATGCACAAGACAGAGTTTGCAAAACATAAGAGCAAAGAAGAAAACTTTGAGGGTTAAACTCACTGCCTCTGTAGAAAGAAAACAATACAAATTTAAATTTCTATAGTGCCTTTCATGTCGGGAGGGTGTCCAAAACTGTTTAACAATACTGGCTGGACACCCAACCCGAAGGACAGGGTCAAGGGGGGTGGGGAGGGGAAAGATGACCTGAAAATGTTGTCAAAGAGTTAGATCTTGAGGCGGATCTTGAACGAAGTGAGGAAGGAAGCTCATCGTTTTCTTTGCCAGTTGGCATTTGATTTTTGTATTGAAGACAAACACTGGTAATTTTACATTCATTTACGTTCCCTTCCGCTTGCTGAAAGTCTAAATAAGCCACCACTTCTCTCTCAACAATTTATTCATTTTGCTTTCGGGGTTTGCCCACAAATATACAGTCAATTCACTTTATAGTATATTCTGTGAAGCGCTTTGAGACGTCTAGAAGATGTGAAAAGCGCTATATCAAATGCAAGGATTATTATTACTATCTCAGCCAGATAACAAGGATAAAAGTATTCATAATTGTAACAGTCTACATCACCTATTGCCAGCTCTTCAAAAAGCTTATCAGCCTGATGCAGATCTATTATTTCCATCTCTGGTGGTTTGAGTGAGAAAGTGAACCTGCATCTTTACACAGACCCAATTAAATTCTTTATTAGATACCATTGGCATTTACTGCTTACAAGAAACAATTGATTTCCTCAGCCTCCAAAGTGACTCTGCCTTATGAATTAAGTGCCTACCTATGAAGTCAATTATTACGAGTAGATCACTTGATACAAGAAACTTGTGGCAATTCTCCAGAACAGGAAATTAACATTGGACTCGAACTGCTGTTCATTAACAAGCCTACCTGTTGTGTGAATCTCTGCCAAATGTTCTTATTTGTCCCTTTTTTCTTTTCCTTTGATGGACAGCGGACCAGACGGGGATGTTATTTGTAGGAGACGCCATGCTGCAAGTTAGTAAAATGTTTTGAACCTTGTATTGAATCCTAGTTTCTCCTTTGCTACTTTCAATGGTTGTGTGCCTAAATTCTGTGTTGTGAATGATTTATTTTGTAGGTAAATGGCATTAATGTTGAAAACTCTACTCATGAAGAAGTGGTGAGTTTCAACCATATTTTCCACTTTGATAGACTGTTAAATCCTATGATGAGTTTTCTTTTAAATGGTTGTAAGAGAAATTTGTATTGACTTAGGGGCAGGTAATGGATTTATTACAACCTGCATGTAAAGCACAGGAGTGAGCCAGGCTGAATGAGGTGGCAAGTGTAGTGCAAAATCCAACCAGGACTATCCCGGGGCAGAGGGGGTAAGCAGGATCTCCATGGAGCTGAATTGGCTTATTGTTTAGTTAACCCTCTGTGGTGGTCTCGATAGTCCAGTTCCTAACTCAGGCAGGTCTGCAGTACTCCAGGGCACTGATGATGACAGACCAGTCAGCCTCACCAATAAGACTTGGAAGGGCAGACCAGTCACTGGGAGCAGAGATTTTACTCCCTAAGCTCTTGTTCACCCTTGTAAACCCAACAAAAATATAAAAGTCATCTGCACAGTAGGGAAAAACACTACTGGATTTTCCAGTATCTGGGCTGTCACACTATATGTGTCATGTGCCATTGATTGGAAAGAGCCAATGTTTGAGAAGTTGCTTGGATTTAACCAAGTAAAACCACATAGTGCGCTTTTTATAAACCATTTCTGGCAAGTTTAATGAAGGAGGGCATTGGGAGAATCTCCTAAAGGAGGAAGGGTCCATAGAGCCAGCATGGGTGACCACCTTCAGGTGGGAGAAAATCCAAGACATTGTTTTATTACTCTAGCCTTTTTTTAAAAAGATTCCTGGTACCGCCTTAATAACATTGTTCAGTCAAATGTTCTTGGTTTTGTTCAGTCCCTGAATGCTAATACTGTATAGTAGATACTGTGTAGTTGACACATCAAGAGCATAAACCTAGTGACAGGCTCGCTATATTTTCTTTGTAATGAATGAATCTGCTGATTCCATTGCATTAAAGCTGATCTTATTTATCACACTGACAGGTAAATCTACTGCGAAATGCTGGAGATGAAGTTACTATCACCGTTCAGTACCTCAGGGAAGCCCCTTCCTTCCTTAAGCTCCCACTAGGTGAGAAAAAAAGAATAATAGGGAAAATTTCACTGTACTTTTCTGCTTCTTGATGCTTTCAAATGAGAACAGCATTAACAAATATTCCTGCACAGATTTTCTCGATGGATTTAACACTGGAGGGAGTTGGAAAAACAGCAGCACCTTTTGTTCCCTTCTGCACAGAGTGTAATCCTGTTACCTCAGTTATCCAACCACATTCATGCTTAATATGGAACATGTATATATTTGAACTGCAGGGCGTGTGTGTGTGTGTGTGAGTAAAATGTGGATGGAATTTCTTAATGGATTCCTTGGTGCTATAACTCCTTGCAACATGCAGGAATTTTAGTTTGGAAGTAGTTCATACTGGCACAGATTTCCTGCAAGTCATCATGTTATAGTTGTGGTTCATAGAAGGAGTCCCCATTCATTCATTAATTTCATTGTGGTCATTGCTGCTCTGAATATTCCACTCTTGCACCTTCCATGCTCCAACTGTAATGTTAATCCACCCAGACTTCAGCCTCTCTGCATCTTCGCTGTTTTGAAATGAAAAGACTCATTGCATTGGTTTCCCCTCTGCATTTTCCGGCCAGGCTTTGAGACAGGAGGAACGCTTATCTACCTCAGCTTTCCCTTCCTTGTTAAACTTCAAGATTTGATTAATCATGTTATGATTTCTCCATTCTTTTTGATTCCTTGATGGTGTCTCACTCGAGGGATCTTAGCCCTTTGATCTAGGTTTCTCATCTACCATCCCAAGCCAGCTGATCCCCATGATAAGCACCTGGAACTCCCTTTGTGTTTCCCGGTGGGCAACACAGCTCAATATGAAATGTGTGAGAGCATTGCCACCATCTTCCTGTCTACAGCCTGGACACCACATCCCTTCCTCATTTAGCAATGGTTCCACCAGATGGAGGTGCAGAGTTTAAGAGCAGCTCCTTACCTCGCTGCAAGCCAATCAAGATGGATTTCAAGCACTGGATGTATGAATGCATGTTCACAAACTCAGACTCCAGGAAATGCCTTTCAGCAGTTATCAGCTCAAGCTTCAGAGTTTTCTCATCAGCTATCTGACAGGCATCTGCTTCAGTGTGTTGGGAGGACCTTTACAGGACAACTTGTGACGTGCCAGCCACCTTGATGTTCTCGAGGTCGCAGTCCAATGCCTAGTAGCAGACATACTCAACACTAGCTGCTTCATCCAGATCCTCATGTGAGTTTGCCTTGGCAAATAGAATAGTAAAAACTTGCCCACTGTGAAGCCAACTCTGCCTCCAGGGTGCTCAGTGAGAGTCATCATAGGTCAGACCACTCCTTACCTGCAGCCACTTCCTGTTTTTGCCATAAACCCACCTCACTACTTGATCCTGGAGTTTCCAAATGGGCTGGAGGAATGCTCTCCACTGCATCCCCAAGAGTTCGGATCCATTAAGCAGCTGTTTTCTTTATGAGCAGGGGCTTGTGCCCTCCTTCACCATTCTTCCCAGCAAGTAGCAGGGGAGAAGGGAGAGGCAAGAGATGTGGCTTCTCCTAGCTCAGCAATGATGGAGTACAGACCTTGGGATTCTTGCAGGAACAACTAAGAACCGAACAAGACTATCCTCGATAATGATTTGAGAAGTTAATCACATATCCATGAAGATGAAATGACCTGAAGCGAGTCTTTGCTGAATTTTCTTTCCCATGTGGACAAACCAAGGACTTCGCAGGACACCTTCATGTTCATATTACACTGCACCCAGTCTTTCTCTCCAGTCACATATTTAGCAATATTAATATGCAAAGTCTTAAACTACAGAGGTGCTATAATTTTCCATAACAAACAAATGCGAGCAAAGCATCTTTTGTGCTGCACTGGAAGTTCCTAGCTGCATTTTATTACCTTTCATTGTATATTTAATATGATAAAATATGATGGAGGGAGGTGTCTGGTAACAGAGGACTCAGCCTGAAGAGGCTAGTCCTGTAGGTGTAGAGCTGCTCATTCTCTAATAACATCCAGCTTCCCGGCTTCCAACGATAAATCCTGGTTTTAGCTTCTCTCGTCGTTGCTAATGCTGGGCACTGTTGTTCAGCTCACCACCTAACCAGAGGAACCCTCAATCTATCAAGCTGTGTTTGGTCAGGAACCTTTCCACTTGCAGCAGAGAGCACGATCCACAGAATATTGCTTCTCTACTGAACTGGCACTAAAATAACCTTTACACTATATTTTACTCTTTAACCATTTGGCTAACAGAATTTCCCTTCTCCCCCCCCCCCACCCCCTATAGAAACAACAGAGACAAATCTTCACATCAGCCACTGTGCTGAAGCTAGAAAAGAGTCTGTTGGTTTAACCTTCTGAATTGAACACATTGGGCAGGCCCAGAACTAGTCCCAAAAGTTGTTGTTTCAGATCTCAGAACACACTGTTCCAGCACTCCTTCATACCAAATCGGCTTACCTCAGATTTAGCTTGTCCAGCAGAGCATGAAATGTCATTTTCATTTGCAATTGGAAACAAAGATTGTGGTTTGCCGGTGACACTGGCTGGCTTCAAGCCTAGCTATTGCATTGGGGGGACTTTAAACTATTCAATAAGTAAATGTATAAATATTAAATAAACTGCTGTGCACATTTGGCTGCTGTGTTTTGCTTTGAGACATCTCAACAACGTGATGCGGAGCTATATTGTGGAGTCTTATAGCTCAGTGGTTAGAGCACTCGCTTTGCAAGCGAGAGACCTGAGTTCAATTCTAGGCAGGGCGAAACCTTGGGCAAGTTTCCTTACTCCACACGCCTAATAATAATCCCTCCAAAAAAACAAAACAATAATAAATTGGTCATTTTCAATCCATGACTGTTTCTGGAACACTGCTGTGCGCAATTGGCTGCCGCGTTCGCCCACAAATATACAGTCAATTCACTTTACAGTATATTCTGTGAAGCGCTTTGGGACGTCTAGAAGACGTGAAAAGCACTATATCAAATGCAAGGATTATTTATTATTATATCAAATGCAAGCATTATTATAATAATTTTTCACTCCATTGTTTTTTCACTTAGACAATGAATAAACAGTGTGTCTGAGAAAATATTGTAACAAAATTAAACAAAAAATACCATAGTTCCTTTCCCCTTAAATCATGATGCTATTTGTTTTCACATGTGAACTCTTTTCCCCTCCTCATTCAAACACATAAATATTTTGACATTAATCCTTGCATTTGATGGAGTGATAGCACAATAATAATAATACTTGCTTTTGATATAGCGCTTTCACGTCTTCTAGACGTCTCAGAGCGCTTCACAGCATATACGGAAAGTGCTGTATATTTGTGGGTGAAGTGCAGCAGCCAATTGCATACAGCAATGTCCCACAATCAGTCGTGGATTGAGAGATCAAATTATTATTGTAATAAAATCAAAATGGCAAAGCTCTTCGTGAGTAATTGCTGAGAACCGTAGTCAATTTTGGGGGACAAAAGCTCAGCCCTTTGTACACAATACTATCTCAGAAGCGTCCATGATTAACCAAAATATCTGGAGGATTTGTTGGTCAGGATACTGGGGAAAAAAACACGCAAATCCTTCCTCAGTGCAAAGGTGTTCCAACAGGAAGCTACTGCTTGGGGAACAATGACCGAGACTTTTAGTTAGTCAGAATGATTGACGGGTGAGCCCATGACGAGCCAATACACCACAGCACACTGAGCACAGAACAGAAGCAAATTATGTTGCACATACTGAGCAATTTAATTAAAAACTGCACGAAATCTGATTGTCTTGACAGATGGCCCAAACCACATTATTTATATATTTTAATGACTGTGGAGCAGGGAGCTGAAGTCTGGCTTTCCTATATGTACTTAAATATTGTACTCAAAAAATATAAAATGTATCAAAACAGGATCAGCTCCAATGCAGCTGTAAACCCTGCATTGAGGTATATTTGAGTCTAATTTGTATCTGCTGTCAATAGTCTGATAATCCCTAAACAATGAGCACAACAACGATGGTTAAGGGTGTGAGAATCTCTAATTCTGCTGTCTGTTGGGTGCTTGATATGTTGCTAACTGGAGTGCCAGGAGAATGGAATAGCAGTCTGCTGTACACGGTTTGCAGGTTTAGATTTTAGCTAAGCTTTCACTGGCGAATTCACGTGGAATTTTTTTTAAAAAAAACTGGAGCGAAGCTGAGAAAGCTACCCACTGAACATGTCTCCCCAGATGACAAACCATCCCGCAGTATTCAGTGGAATATTTGGATTTCACCAGTGTTCCACTTTTCTGACTGCTTTTATTTTGCATTAGTTGTAAACTGAATATCAAAACCACTGAATTTTGTTAAAGAAAACACGAGAAAATGAGAATAATCAGATTAAAACGTTCACAGTTGAAGGACAGATCACAGCTATTGGGGTGAAAAATGTGATGTTTCATAACAGATATGATGTGTCAATTACCTAATCTGTTCTGAAACTTCACATTTTCTTCCAAAGTATTTCCAAAAACAAATTGAAAAGGAATCACAAAAATGGCATATTAACAGAGGTCTGATTTGTGCAAATTTTTTCACCAGATTCCTCAATGGAATCCCAGCTCGGATTACTGAAAGCCACCGTCATTGTGTGAATCAGATTCCTTATTAATCAATCCCTTTAAGAAATACAACAAATTAGACCCCAAAGTGTAGTTTGACTTTTCATTGCATTTGTGAGGTGATAAAAATGATTATGTTTTTATAAGGCAACGGAGACAAAATAAATGTACTTGCAGAGAAAATGATAGATTTATGTCGGTGTCTCGGATGTTATGTGAACATGTTTACAAAGATCACGAGAGGTTTGGATGAAGAAGTCCCTTTGGCACACTTGATCTCATCCTTCTACTACTGTACCATAATGTTAAAGCTATAAAATCTTTATGATTCCTCTAATGCTTTGACATTAAATGTCCTGAATGTAGTGCTAGTGTTAGCCTGGCTCAGCGAGTAGCATTCTCGTCTCTCAGTCAAAAGGTTTTGTGTTCAAGACTTTGAGCTCACATAGGATGACATTCCAATGCAGTAACTGGATGGGGATGTATTGCATTGTTGGAGGTGCTGTTTTCAGATGAAATATTAACCGACGTCCCATCTGTCTGTTCAGGGGATGTTAAACATAGCACTGTTTGAAAAAAGGACTTTCTTTCTCTCAGTTATCTTGCCAACAGTACCTCAGACAAAATTGTTCATTAACATCATGGCTTTTGCTGCATTTGCCTACAAAATACCCATTGTACTTTGAGATATTATCCTGAACTAAAAGGAGATGTATCAAATACAATTAACTTATTTATTTGTGTCCCTGTTATGTGCAGGCTCACCAGGACCGTCCAGTGACCACAGCAGTGAGGCGTCTTCTCCTCTATTCGACAGTGGCCTACACTTAAATGGAAACTCCACAAATACTGTAAGCCTTTTTGTTCACCCATCATCAATAAAATTTAAGAGTATTTATTTTAAAGTGTCAACCACAAAATAGTCTTTCTGTGTACAAGATGGAATCCAAGATAAGAAGTTTTTTTTTTAAACCATTCATTGTTTTTCTATTTCATGGTAAGGAAAGCTAGATGGTGTGATGAACTGTTTGATGACAACGCAGTAAGTGCTTGGCAAAACTAGCCATTTCTATCTGGAAAAGAAGTCCCAAGTTGAGACAAAAACACCATTCAGAACAAATGGAGTTTACAACAACAACTTGCAGTTATATAGCACACGGGATAGTGTCCCAGAGCATTTGACAGTGGTGGTGTCTGACCCTGAGCCAGGGATAGAGGGAGGGGGAGGTGACCATAAGCAGGATCAATAAGGAAGGTGGGATTTGAAAGTGGGGAGAGAGGGGGCAAGGTAGAGGGATTTAGGGAGGGAGTTCCAGAACTTCGGGGCATAGTGGCTGAAAGCACGGCCATTGATGGTGGAGCAGAGAGGGCAAGGAGGCCGGAACTGGCCAAGTATTAGTAGTGTCATGAAGGTGCAATAAGGCAATTGATGGAAAGAAACACCATCTCACATATACTGACTACAATGAGCATCAGAGGTTCACATGTCACAGATGTACTATCCCAAGGATAGCTTGCTGAGATGATGAGCTACTTGAGCATAAGAAAGATGCAATCTATTGGTTAGAGAAGGGTGATCATTGAGGTGTGGCAATGAAGGCCATGAAAACCTTCCTGCAAAGTGAGTTGACCATTACAACACATGCAAGGATGGGAAGGTTTGCCAATGTCTTTTACTTTTATGTCCCTAAGATCTTTAATTAATGCAAGAAATGCATTATGAAGAGTTGCACATATCCCAATATTCTGATATTAAATATATTGTCCACAGTCGCCAATTCAGTGTTGCACAATAGCTGGCTTATGAGCTAATCATGGTCCTCTAGGAATATTGGATGTCCTGATCACTTCTGTTGGCTTGGTTCCCTGCTTTTCCCAAGGCAGTCGTTGTCAGTTTCAGCAGCTTTCCAAGCTCGCAGTTTTTGAAAGGTCCTGTGGTGCTTTTGAGCATTCGGGTAAGTTTTTCCACCATATGGAGCTTACATCTACTTATTTCTGGAAAGCTCTCCCTGTGTGGCAGAAGCGCTCACCGGAAACAACAAAAAGATCTGGAGACGAGAGATACAGTGTACACACAGAAAGAATATGAAGATAAGAGGTACAAAAGCTTTGTAGCTCATTCGGACCTCTCATTTTAGGTCTATTTGAGTTAGTTGCTCAGGCCACTTTTATCTTTTTCTGTCCTTCCACCATGTCTACATCTGTCTGCTCTTCGTGAATTGGACTTTTGCACAAATTCACCATGTCTTTATTGAATATTCTCAGCACCTCAAGATAATAACTCCATGTGGAATTTGTTCATCTTTGTTAAAAGGAGCTTCATCTCTTTCTTCACAGAGGATAATACGGTCTAACATTGACTGAGTCTCAGCCTGTAAGACACTTCAAGCTGAAATTTAAAATTGTGCAGAACTGTTTTTAAATTCTTAAATTCACACTTTACTTGGAGAACAAATCTCTACAGCTTTCAATTTTGGAATGAGAGTATACAAATTTTCCACAAATCTGCCCAGTCTTACACTTCAAAACAAAATGGTCTTACATGATGCTAGGATCAATGGAATTTCAGACTTATATATATAGATTTTTTTGGTCAGTTGGAAATCCATCACCCTACTTAAGAGTATCCAAGCAAACTGATATTTCCATGCATCCCACCTACACATGGAAATCCCAGAGATAGATTGTTGGAATAGAATAGAGCGTTTACTTTAAGAAGAAGGACTAATAGCCCACTGTGTCTTTGCTGGTGTTATCTTCCCCCACTGGGGCTCTCTGCTGTAATTTCATATCACTTTCTTTCCCCAAATGTATCCCATTTCATCTTAATTCTCGTTCAGAACAAATAACGTCACATTAACACTATTAATTCACTTTATAATTTAACTGGTATCATGGGATCTCATTTATTTTATTTCTTAATGGGATTCCTTAATAAGGAATCCGAGTTGTCCAAATTAACTTTTTTCCAATAAATAAAAGTACTTTATGCTGACCCGTTATTGGTGATCCATTTCCAGAGTGGAGCTCCTTGAGGTAGACTGTAATTCTAATTCAGGCACTTTTTCCTGGTTGTTGCCATATAAATAATGGTAGTGGTACCACCAAAAAGAAGACAGATATTTTGGTAGCAGTCAATCATTTTCAAAGATCACATCATAAAGCAGGTGACGCCATAACTTCTGTACATGCATGAAATTAAAACCCCATTATAACCATCTATACATTTGACCCCTAGGTCATGTTACAGAGAAGCCTCCAGTCAATTTTTGTGCCAATAATCCTTGCATTTGGTACAGAAGGATGTCTCAAAACTTTTCACAGGATATATTGTGACATGTAGTGACTGTAAATTTGTAGGCAAATGCGTCAGCACAATTTCGCATAGCAATATTCCCCAAATAGCTCTGAAACGAATGACCAATTTTTACTTGGAGGATTGTTGGCCAAGACACCGTGAGAAACTTCCTTTTCTTTTCGAATAGTGCTCCGGATCTTTAATGTCTACCTGAACAGGCAGATGGGAAACATGTCGTTTGTTGAATTATTTTTCTAACTTTCTTACCACTGCTCCTGCTCTAATCTCCTCTAGCTAGTTGCAATTCTGTGGGCACTGGTTGCCCTCCCAAGTGGTCATTGTTCTTGTGTGAGCCTTGGCAGTGAGTGTCGCCAGAACATTTGAATGAAGAGAGCATCGCAGCAAAAGGAGATGTCTATCACTACCTCCAGGTATCGATAAGAATCAACAATTGGGACTGATGCCCTCGTATCTTTCAATCAGTTCCCTCAGTATATATTTCTGAGCTGTGCAGAACCATGATTCCACCCTTGGGGGCATCAAATATTAATTCCCACTGGATGGACCATTGTTCAAGATGGCGAGTGCATTGCGTAAGTTCACTTTGCAGCACTATTGGTATTATACTTACATGGCACAATTTTGTAGATCAGTGTCATTTCAAAGTGGCCCATGGTCCCAGTAATATCGCTTTGTTAATTTGAGCAGCTTTCGTTATTAATAACAAACTGTATACACTCACAACTTGTTAAAGGTTTCTGAGACATTGCTGTGTGCAATTAGCTGCCGCATTTCGCCCACAATATCCATAGTCAATTCACTTAACAATATAATCCGTGAAGCCCTTTGAGATGTCTCGAAGATATAAGATGCTATATCAAATGCAAGGATTATTAATAGCTGTTTGTCAGACATCGCTGTATGAAAATTGTTTGTTGCCTTCCCCTACAAATATACAACCATAACATTTGACAGTATGAACCATTTTGAGACACATCAAAGATGTGATAAGGTGATAAATCAAATGCAAGGATTATTATAATATTTGATATGGTGACAAATCGTTGAAAATGTGTCCTGTCAATTTATTGATTGATCCTTCTCAACTGTATCCCAAAGGTTGGGCTCAAAGTGATTCATAAAACCCTTTAAGCTGCCGGTTAATTAGCACTGGACTACTGGTTAGTGAGATACTGCCTTAATCATTGGAGTACTAGTTAGTGGTTACTTACTACTACTGGTTGATCCCGCCCTCCAAAAAAAAACAGTTAACTTAGTATCTAGTAAATCTGCAGTCCAATGCATAATGCAGCTAGCTTTGGGCCCAACCGCTGCGGCAGAGTTGGGAGAGATCGGTGTCACACCAGCAAACCAATCAATAAATTAAGACATCAACAGCAATACAGGTGGGGACTTGCGCACCCACTGTTGCATAACCTCAATGCAACTGCAAAGAAAAGAAACACTGACCATAGCCCCAGTCATCTTCAGGAACATTTCTCAGTACTGACGATCACTACACATTGGGTACTTTTCCCACCTATCTCTCATCTGTCTGTTTCTCCTACTTCTGCTATCAAGTCCATGCTGGGATTGCATTTGAGTTTATTTACTTTCAGACAGAAGATGTGTTACTAGCATTGGTTGATTTAGTGACTGCAACAATAATGTCCAGTATCTTTCACAGGTAGCTCACAACTGAAAGATCTGGGGATTCATTTTTCCTTTCAATTTTTTTTCTCATTATCCAAGTTTGTATCCACAGAATAATGATGGTATTATGAAATAACTGAACAAACATGTCTTGCTAGTAATTGGAATCAATGTATTGTCTGCACATTGCTTGCTGTAGGCACTGTTGCAATAGAAGTGAATATTTTTTTAAAGTGCATGTGGGGGAGGAATAGCCTAATGTCTGGAACACAACAAGATAATAATAATAACAATAATAATCCTTGCACTTGTTATAGCAGATCATCACATTGTTAAGACATCTGAAAGTGTTTCATGGGGAACATTGTAAAGTGCTGTGACTGTGCATTTTGTGTGTGAGTGCATCAGCCAGTTTGCACACAACAATATCTCATATACAGCCATGGAGTGAGTGATAATTTATTTGGGGAACAGTTAGCCAAGACACCGAGAGAAACTCCCTTCCCTTTTTCGAATATGCCATGGGATCTTTAACATCTTCCTGGACAAGCAGACAGAACCTGGTTTAACGTCTTATTCGAAGGACAGATAAAAATAGAAATCAAGGCGGGGGGATCATAATAATAATAATCCTTGTATTTGATATAACGCCTTATCATGAAGTCAAAATATTACAAGGGATTTATTGCAGTCACTGTATAATTGTAATTTTAATTCAAAGCGCTTCACAGAATATACAGTTAAATTAATTGACTGTGTAATTTGTGGGTGAAGTGCAGCAGCCAGTTGTGCACAGCAGTATTCCACAAACATTCATGGATTGAGTGACCAAATTTTTTTTTTTTAAATATTTTTTGAAGGGATTATTACCCCTGGAAAAGCGATCTGCCAATCGACTAA